ACCTACCAAATATCAACCAGGTTGAATGGAAAGCAACATGGAGTAGAGGAATAAACGTGGGTTTTAAGGTCAGAAAGACCTGGATTCAAAGTCCAGTAGCCATATTTATTAGCTAAATGACCATTGACTAGTTTCTCAGTATTCCTGAAACAAAGATTGAGATGAATACGAAGTGTCTCTATGCATGTCTTGTTTTAGATCTCTCCAAGAAGCAGACCCTGAGACAAAGATTTAAGTGACAGTTGTTTATTTTCTAAGTGGAGGGAACACTGGAAGGGGAGTGGGTATGGCAGACAAAGAAAGAAAGACAGCGAATCAAGATTCATGTAATGAAGGCAACTACTGAGGGAATAACCAGAACTTAAACCTTCCGGGGAAATTCTTGGAGCCCGTGTGGGAGGCATATATATGAGAATTATCCCACCAAAGGAGCAAGGATACTGAGGTATTTACCTGGCAACTTCCATCAGTCATTGGTTTAAGGCTGCTCCGGGGCTGTGAATTCACTGGCACTTCTACCTTGTCTGGCCGGAGAGGCAGAGAAATGCAAGCCACATCAACTGAGTGGTTGAGGGCAAGAGGATGTGGGGACATGGACAGCATCTGCTTTGGTGTACTCCTTACACTATTGAAATCCCCTCATTACCCATGTTAGGTTCTCTGTGTCTTATCATTGCTTCTTCAAGGTGATGCCTGGTCAAAATGTCTCTTTAAAAAAAGTGTTATTGCAATAGAGTTTGTGGGACAAGCTAGAATATCCCCTACTGCAATTATTCCTGAGTCTGCAAGTGATAATCATCATTACATCCCTCTACCACTTATTCCAACTTCTTCTCACCCTTGACCATTACATCTGCTGATGTATGTTGCTTGCCCAGTTGAGTCACTGACATGTTTGTCCTTGAGGAGTTGAATTCTTGACTACCCATCCCTTATCAGAATGTTGTTACTTCTCTAGCCTGTTTGTGGTTATTAACATTCATGACGGCATCAAGAGATGCCCTGGTGAATCCCTTGAGTCACAGACATACTCTTCCCTGCTCCCCTTATGCAGTAGCAACTCCAATTCCTCAATGGTAATTAGGGTTCATTACTCTTGCCAGTATAGTAACTTCTTTCTTTGCCTGCTAGACCGCTGGCATTGGAATTCACAAATGACCAGACGGCAGGTGTAACATCACAAGTTTAGTGGAATTCTGATGGTACCCTGGTAGAGGTGTGCGTACTCCAGCTCACCCCACCATGGAAACCAGGACCTCTACTCCTACACGACCTATGGGGAGTTATGAGAATAGAAAACACACATTCCTCAAGTGGATCATCAGGAGCGCTGGTGAGAGGGGCCCCTTGGTACTTTCACTCTTGACACCAAGACTTGTGTAGTGTATCCGTTAGGGACATAGTACTATATAATGGCTATTGGTTCAAAGTAAATATCAAATCCTGAAGAACAGTTCCTAAACATTGTTGGGTACTATCCCCAAGCTGTGCATTTTTAGAGTCCATTCCAGTGTTTTTCTAGTCTGACAGCATCTGCATGAAACAAATATGGTGTGATCAGTAAATCCCATGGTCATGCAGCCTGAACCTATTACAGATCCTTCTCTTGCCCTGCGTCTCATGCATAACCATTGTTGGAAGTCAGGCTGGTGTATACTGATAGAAGTAAGATTTTTTTTTAACTTTCTACTGCAGTGTGATTTCATACTAAAAAATTGCAGTAATTACAAGTGAACTACCCGATGAGTTTCCATAAAGTAAACACACCCACATACAGCTCAGATTTTGCATGACAATTCTATAAAAATAATTTGTTAGTTTCATAACCAGTAATGATTGAGCTCTATTATTATATCACTCCTTACTCCCAGGACTTGAAAAATTCTTTTAGGCTAATTCATGCCCCAGAAATGTAGCACTTATTAGAGTGTAAGCCTAATAAAACCCAGCCATAAATTCATTCTGTCTTCCAATACAAGCTTTATGAGTTCCAGTGGATTTATAAATTTTTGTTCTCTTTTTTGTATTATAGTGGAATTCAACATGTACATATTTGAAACATATATATAAAAAATATATATGTATAAAATTTCCCTTTCTGTCATTTTTTGTGAGGCTAATCTCACTTTCACAGCTCCACCAGCTCAAAGGATGAGGGAACATATGCTTCTCCATATGCCTAACACAGACTCCTCAATGCATTTATTACTCAGAGCTTAGTGATTGAGGAATGTTTGTAATATTTTATTTTTCCTCATAGTGAGTCATTCTACTGTACATTTCAAAATCTGTGATAAGTTGAAAGATCCAAGAATTGAGGTACGTTTCAACAAACAGCTTCCCATCTGGTAATTGAGAGGTTTTATTTATAACCAGGTATTCAGATGCAGTAATATGAAATGACCTTCAGATTATTTGTTTTAATACATGTCTAAAGGGCTGAGCAAATACACTCACCCCCTCCAATCCACTCTCCACACTGTAGCCAGATCAGGAAACTCATTTCCCTTAAACTCTTCAACTGGCCCCAAATCCCCACTTTGGCTAATGAGGCCCCCCATGATCTGGTTCCTGTCTCCTTCTTCAGATTGTCTCTCAACAACCCCCTCCCTTCTTTTCTACACCCCACCAACCTGGATCTTTCAGTTTACTAAATGTATCCCTAAATCAGCACTCAACTCAAGCAAAATATATAGGTAGGAAATGTTTAAAAGTTAAGTTGCTTTTAATATATAACTTACTACCAACTAGCTGCTTTTCATCTATTGAACCCCAAGCAAGTTTCTAGAAGTCAGCACGTGGGGTTTAGGATGGGGTTAGGGACAGCCATTGTGCAGATCTGCCTCAGTGTTTCAGTCCAAAGGGCTCACCTACTGGAGTCTTCGTGTGGTACTGTGTTTGGAACTTCTGCAGGAACCAGACCAATCTGGGAGTGCCCAAAGTCATTCAGAACTCTTTAACCAATGGACTTGATTCCTCTGGCATGAGAGTTAAGTTTAACTCGTTGCTTCTCTTTTCACCACCCACCCAGGGCAGGGGTTGGCTTCACTCACACTGACCCACCAATTAGCCAGGAGTTTCTCTGTTTTCAGTTATGCTATCAGAGTCTCACTTGGGAAGTTTGAGTTGGTCCAAAGTTCATGTGAGGCTGAAGGGTTTCGAGCATCATAATGTTGTGAGATGTACCAAATGCCAAGCCAAGCCAAACCAAGGGGAGGTGCTTTGAAATTTCATTTTATATCTTCAGATCCTCTCACTTTTGCTTAAATCAGCCTTTTGACAAAGTATCCTTTTTTTTTTTTTCTTAAAGAGTTTCCCTACCCATCTGTGATCTTATGAGTCAATCAGCTAACATTTACAGAGCCCTTAAATGTGCTTAGTTTACCAGGAGGAACTTTGGGATATAAAACAAGTGTCCTGACAAGGCCTGACTCTTAGTGGACAGATAAAGCTTTAATTGATGAAATAATAAAGTGCTAAAATGTGTATAATTGCCATAAGTGCTTTAATTCAGAGTGAGAGAGACTCCTATGCAGAGAAATTTTTAGTGACTACTACAGAGAGAAAGTGATATTTTTGCTGCAAATTGAAGGATGAGTAGAATTAAGATAAGCAAAGGGTTGTGGGGAGTTCATTGCATGGGTGGCAGCCAAGGTGGACCTGTCTGGGCACAAAGGCATAGTGGGAAGAGAAATGATACCAACTAGGTCTGTCCCTACTGCCCATGCTCCAGAAAGCACTGCCCATAACAGTGGTTCTCACACCTGAATGGGCATCAGATTCTCCTAGAGGGGGCTTTATTTCCAAAACACACACACACACACACACACACACACACAGATTTCTGGGATGAGGCCTGGGAATTTGCATTTTCAACGAGTTCTCAAGTAATGCTGATGCTGCTGGTCTAGGGCCCAAACTTTGAAAGCGCACTGGCTAGACTATGCTGCTAACTGGATGGTTCACCACTCAGTAAATGTCATCTGGAAATTATGCTGCAAATCATCTCTCTCAGCGATACCCTTTGTTCTGCTTCTTTCCTCTCCTAAGCATATGGTGTTCTCATTCACACCTTTCCATTTGAGTCACATCATTCCTTCCCACTGCCATCTTATTCCCACAACCCTTATGGTCGCAACCAGATTGAGTTCCATCATTTCCTGCCTTTTCTGTTGTGGTGGTTGTAAGCCCATTTCGGATGTTGGGAACTTTAGCCAATCTAAACTTTGAGATCTTAAAAGGAAAAAGTGAATAATGTTATCAGTTTTCAGCTTCTACTTTTACTTCCTTATCTCTTGCCAATTCATTGGTAAATTAATGTAGTAATGTGGAGACCTGATTTTGATTTTCTACTCAACACTGATGATCATTTCCCAAGTAGAAGCTTATTTGCCTTGGAATTATTTCTCTTTGATGAAATGATTACCCAAGTAGGTAGCAGTGTGGCTGTTAGAGTGGTTCTGATAATTATATGTTGATTTAAGGCTTTATGTATTAAATAATTAGATTATAGTTGAGCTTTGACAGAAGCTTTGAATTCCTTTAGTTTTATCAGCAATCACAGTACATGGCAAATTACAAAGTTGTCAAAACCCACTGTAACTTTCTTTCCATGAATAATGAAAAGAGTTAATAGTACATAGTAGGCACTCATGTGTTTGGTGAATGAACAAATAAATGCATTTAAAATAAATGTGTAAATAATTTTAATTTGCTCCATGAAACAAAACCAGACATAGTCTTGTGAAATATAGGCATAGTTATTTTGTATCAGTTTTAAATTTGGCAGGCTACCAAACGTTAATTTGCTTTTAGCTAGTTGAGATTAAATGTAATTCCTTTCCAGAGCAACCCTAAAGTAAGCAAGCATGAAAGCATTTTCAGAGTAATCTGGGAGGAATTGACATTTAAAGGAGTTAGCATTACATCTGTACTTTAAGGCTATTAATTTCATAGATAAATTAACTTTATTACTCTATCTTTATCTTACATTTTGAAAGGGCTCCATCATCTGGACGACTGACAGCCGAGGGTCAATTGAAACTGCTCTTATCCCAGCCAGGTTGTAATTGGAACCTGCTTCTGGAAACCCTACTGCACGACGATGGTCTTTTACTGAGAATCTTGCTGAAGAGCTCAAGTAAGTGTTTGTAATTATGAGAATGTCCTCAAAAAACCTAGTCATTGCTCACATTGAATGAAATTTTTTTTTTCCTGCTTGAACATTGGCAGAGGGATGTAAGCCAACTGCATCGTATCAGCCATCAGTGGGGTTAGCAGCAAACAAAATACTGAATCAGTTTATACACCTACTGAAAAGATTCTTTTTCAGGACCTCCGAATGAGGAAAAATAATATATTCTATGTGGTGCTAGTCCATCATAACTGTAGTCACCTAGAAATATATTAATACCTGGGGTTTGAAATGCCTAAGAAAATTATACAAACATAGTTATATGTCCAAAATGGAAGTCTCAACCAGATCTATGAGAGAGAGATTCCATTAGAACTACACTAGAAATTTCACTGGATCATGAAGAGGGCTTACTTAATTTATAAACAAGCAACCTGTGGCTTACAGCCATATCCATTGGGGCATGGAGAAGTAATCATGGGAAAAGTATGAATGGAAACTGAAGAGTAATAGAAGACCACACTTCTCTTAATTAGACTTTCTTTTTTTCCCTGTAAGTGCTATTTTAGAAAACGGTAAGTTAAACTTATGCCAATCTAATTATGTTCCACTGCTCTCCTGATATATCTATGAAGAGTTTTCTAACCATTTTCACACACCCCTACACATTTCTCCTTTTCTATACCACATGGGAGGCCAGATTAACTTTATCAATCACTAGCTTCACTGCAGGTTTCCCGCCTCACAATCTTTTTTTTTTTTTTCTAGCTCTCGGTCCGCTGCAGGACCAAATTCCCATCCTTCTGCCATTCAAATGTGACCCTCAACTAGTTTTCTTACCTCCACTCACCATTCACTTGCATGCGCACACATAGACACACACACACGTATACACACTCATTTCAGCCATTGTCTCCAACGTCCCGTGCATGTGTTCCCTCCACACCTTGTCTCAGCCATTTTCCCTACTTGAAAGACCCTCCGTAGACAACCCAGTCTCCACCAGTATCCAAGGACCAGTTGATGTTCCAGGTCTTTGAATGCTCTAGTTCACACTGATCTCTTCCTCCCCTGAACTTCACAGTGTTCATTACCTTGGCTGCTTATTTGCTCTTATTATATGCTGCCTTATACTGTTATTGTATTTGCATATAAATGAGGCAAATGTCACCAGGCCCTATCAGCCTGTCAGTATACAAATGACGGTCATAGCATTCCCCGGTCCAGATGGCTTCCATCATTTCAGGAAATTTTTGGTTTCTCAGATCTGCTCACAACCAGTTCCTCATATTCTCCTCTCCCGTCACCTGCTGAGCCCCTTGTGAGAATATTGCGTCTTCCCAGGTGCTCTCAAATTCATACAATCTTGTGGTGCCAAAGGTCACTACAACTCCCCGTCTCGCTGTGTTCCAAGCAGAAGTTCAGCGATGACTCCTCTCCCAAACCCTCAATCTGACTTTATTCCTTTAGCCCCCACACAGTAGTGTTTGGGCCTCAAATCTCACAAAGGTGACCTGAAAGCATTTTCTTTAACTTCAGACTGTAAGGCCACACTCCTAAAGAGAAAAACTGGCACTAGGGAAACTACTTCCTTAAGTAGCCAACTTTTATTGTTTGCTTATTAGGTGTCAGGTGCTGTGCTAAGCACTTCACATTTGATTTTTTTTCTTTTTTTAAAAAATTTATTAATTTTGAGAGAGAGAACATGCACCTGTGCACACGAGCAGGAGGAGGAGGGGCCGAGGGAGAGAGAGACTCTCATGCAGGCTCCACGCACAGTGCAGAGTCCCTCCCAGCACTCGATCTCACAGCCCTGAGATCATGACCTGAGCCGAAATCAAAAGTAGGATGCTCAACTGACTGAGCCACCTAGGCACCCCCACAATTGATTCTTATAACCTAATAAAGTATTTATTATTGTTTTTCTCCTGTTAAAAATAATGACATTAGAGTTTAAGATAATCTCACTTGCCTAGGGACACATAGCTGATAAATGGTGGTTAAACCTAGATTCTGAACCCAGCCAGAGCTTTCTGTCCCCTGCCCTTCCTATACAAATATTCATACAGATTAAATCATGGGGTGGGGCTAAGGGTATCTGGAAGAACTGTAATCTGCCCATTCTCAGGTTGAATCAACAATGACGTCCCGATGCACAAGTATTTAACAGGCCTTTCCAGTTAGGTAATTAGGCCAATCCCAGATTTTTATATTCCTCTTCAAGCTAGTGCAGTGTTTTATAGAAAAAGTCTAGTGATTGGACAATCAATGATCAGTTAGAAGAGAAAATACTAAGCTTCCCTTAAACTTCATAATCTGGGCTTTCAGGCAAGGTGGCTAACATGGATAGTATCTGACATGGCTGCCGAGTTACTCTAATATCAGTAAAACTCAACGGCATGATCGCAGCAGACAAATGGTCTCCTATTGATAGAGTTATGTAGAGCAGCCTGGAAAATCAGTTGTGACCAAACCTTTCGACTATGCTGATATAGCCACTACACATAGCAATTGTAGTTATGAATATCTAACCATGTTTTCTTACAAATGTATTCCACATTTACTTACCCAAAATATTACATCCACTTTCTAGTATGTATAACATAATGTGGTTTTTGAGAAACCTTTAGTAATCAAAGGTTACCTATATTGTGTTACCTTCAGTGGTGGTTCTTATGGAGTGCGGAAGGGTATTTGCCCAACCTGCTCAAAATTTTTTCAAAGGCCATTAGGTGTTTGACCATTAGGGTTGCATAGCTGTTCTGGTATTGTCTTATAGGGAATTTTGTTAGCGACTGCAAATACCATAAGAATGAAGTGACAGAATTTACTAATCAATTGATTGACTTATTAAGCTCCAGTGGAAGTCTTGTCACTTTAAGTTAGAAACAATATACTTAAGGAATCTTATTAACTAGACCAAGATGGAAATTGTTATGCATAAAAAATAAATTTGTCTTATGATGTACTATATGCTGGCTAACTGAACCTATAAAAAATAAATTGTAATATTTTTTGCGGAGCTTTTCATTTCATTTGATTAGAAGTCTCAGAGTATTTCAGAACCATTTGGTAATTTAGAAAAGCAAAATTTTGAAATAAGATATGCTGAATTAGATGTTTCAAGCAACATAACTATCAACTTTTTTGGGAGAGTTTTCCTTTATAAATAGGGTCTTTTTGGTCTCATTGATAAAACTTAACTCTGTTAAATTGGCTCAGGAAAAAAAATAGATTTTTAGTACGTATTTTCATTATACATATTTTAAAAAACAAAGTTCTCCTTGTCTAATGAGCAATTATTAAATTCTGTTAGGTACAAAATTTTTTGATAAACAATCATATATTATAAAGGTTAGAACACATGCAGTTTATCTCTTTTATGTCTATAACTTTGGGTTTTGCTCTATGAAAATGATTTATCAGAATTTCTCTTTATTTTTTTTTAAATCGGCAGATCATATATGGAAATGATTGTCTTGTTGTATGAGATGCAACCTCACTGAGGGTGGAAAATAGCAAAATTTAATAAAGGAATGGTAAAATTTTAATTTATAATATATGCTTCGTAGGCTGCAAACTTCTAGGAAGTGAAATCATGTTTTTGCTATGGATAATAATTCCTCCTATATAAAAATATATAGCATTTTGAGGGAGTGATCACATTGCTAAAACTTGATAAAAATAAACTGATTTCACATGGGGGTGGTTTCTGACATTCTTTGGGTACAGTTCAGTTGGCATTAGAAGGTAATGTTGGTTTTATTTTTAAGAAAGGCCATCTTAAATTTGAGGGAAAAAACTGTCAATTACAGAGGTTCACAGAAGATTTTAAAGTTTTAAGATACTATTTTGGATTATTGACTTTAAAAACCTAGGGTGATGGTTTTGGTAATTACTTCACTAAGACCACATGGCCAAACCAGTTTCTTACTTGCGGCATCAAAGGAACGAATATTTGGCAATTCCCCATTTGTTAGCAGGTGGCCTTTTCCTGTTAGTGACACTTGAATGAAGTGTGACTAACATTCTTTCCTTTGCCTGTTGCCCCAAGAATGATTCCCAGTGAAACTTCTTGGCTTCTGGCGATTTTCACTTGTAATATAACAACAAGAAGCAAGCAAATACATAATATTTAATATGTTCCAGACATCGTTTCTGAGTGCTTTAAATGTGTTTATTCACTGAATCCTCATAACAACTCTGTGTGGTAGGAACAATTTTCATCTCCATTTTAGAGGTGAAGAAACTGAGACTCAGAGAAATTAAGTTACATATCCAAGCGACATGTGATTAGCAAAGCAGGATTTGATCCAGACAGCTGGCTTCCAGAGGCTGTGTTCCCCACCATCACACCACACGGCATCTAGGCCAAACCAGAGGAAGTTTCCCAAACTGTAGAGTTGCACAATTCATGGGAGTTGTCAGGAACCTATATAGTGCATAATTTTGATAGTACTGTTTGTACTTTTCAACCTTGTAACAAAGTGCTTGAAGATAATCAAGAAGCAGACCTAACACAAAATTCTAGAAAAAGCTGCTACCACTGAAAAGGGATGGTTGACTTAAAATGAATGAATCCATTCAAATTCTCTTATTTTACAGTTAATATTTTCCTGATTTTTTGGATAATGAGAGGGTTGTTATGGCAGAAACTTGGTGTTTTGTTATATACTGTGTGTGTGTGTGTTTTGTTTTACTTGATAAGTACGACCAAAGTGTTCTTTTGTAACTGTCTTGAAGGAGACGACCAAAAGTAAAAATATGCTCCCTCCTGATACCCTTAGTGTACCTAACATTGATGTCCTAGGCTGCTTTTGCTAGTGACGACATCTGCACTCTGACTTGTTCAATCTTTTTTTGTTCACTGGATTTGTTCCCTACTTGTATTAGGAACAATAGAACCTTATTTGTGAGTTTTTGTCCCAGTCTTTTCAAACCAAAGATCCTGTCCTAGAATGACAATGGACTGACTAGCTTAGAATATCGACGGGCTCCATAGAACT